GGGGCAGTCCCACAGGGGAGGGGGCGTGTGCTTTCGAGCTGCACGGGGGGGGCGGGAGAGACGATCGGCCTACAGTACACTTGATAAGGCATACGAGCAACCCCTTCCCACCACCACCACCACCACCCCCGGTGACTTGTCCAAGGTACTTCTGGAGAAAAGGCAAGAAACGAGTGATTGTGTGGCCTACCGGCTTCTCCTGCGTAGAGAGGTCAATCAATAACAGGTCGGCTCTGGCCTCGCGCACGTGTAAGCGGGTGGGTTGGAGCCCCAACTGCCCGAAGGTCCGAGAGTCTCAGCTTTTCTGGCTTCCTTCCCTTTGTGACACTTGATTCTCGGCCACCGACACCCCGCATTGTGCGCCCACACAGGACACGCCTGGGCCGGAGCCTGCTGGGGGAGAGCCCGTGAGCGGACGACAGACTGCCCAGGGTGGCTCTTTTGTGCTGAGGCGCAGGCCTCCGGCAGAAGCCCGCCGCAAAAAACAGTTCCTGCCTCCTTTCGTCACTGAGGCAAGAAGGAGCTCGCTAGCGAACCGCCCGTGGGCCTGTGGTGCAAAACCGGCGGCAAGTGGGGGGGCCCAATCCACCAAGGCGTGGTTAGTTCCCTTCCCCTGCTTCAGAAGCACAGGTGGCTGCACCCAACTCCCATGGAGTGCTCCGAGGGGCTGCCGGGCACGGGCGGCCTGTGGGGCGTGGTGTCCGTCCCCGTCTGTCGGATCCAGGGATCTGCGACTGGGTCCGGGCAGAGTCCACCTGCCGTTATAGAATCACACAGCTGTTCTTCTCCTTCTCCTTCTCCTTCTCTTTCTCCTTCTCCCGGGGCTCTTTGCGCTTCCGCTCGCTGCCCACAGATTGTCTTCCTGTCGTTGGCGAGGCAGCTCCCGGCACCTGCTGGGAAAGAGAGAACGGCTGGTCTGAATAATCCTTCGGCTTGGCAACAGCAACACAACCGCAGGGACTGGCCACGCTGTGCCAAACAAACTGCTGAAGTTGGGGGGGGGGAGAGGCCACAGGTGATGACTGCGCTCTATCAGAATCCCTTCCAGCCTGGCGCCAGAGTATGCTGAAGACAGCAACGGCCAGGATGGAGGCCTTCTGATCCGTGTTCCCTCTCAGATGAGTGAGTGTGAGCTAGCCCACAGTTTCTTAGACTCCGGCTCGCACATTTTTGTCTCAGCTCGGGAAGGATGGGGCTCCAGAGCAAACTAATTTTATGCCACAGCCAAATCACTGGCTCACAACCTTAATGCCAGGAGCTCACAAAGGAGAATTTTTGCTCAGAGGACTCCACAGCTTAGAGGGAGGCATTGCTTCTGATGTACAGCTGCTGGCAGCCTGCAGGTTTAACCCAAGATATTAATCGTATCTAGAACCACACACGCACACACACAAAAACAACCCAGGTGGTAGATCCAGTCCTTACCAAAAGCTCCCTGAACGTTCCTACTAAGCTTCATTTCCTTTTTGAAAATTTTCCTACACTGCCGCTTCCCACCAGACACATCCCCCCCCCCCCAGCACCTCTTGTCTGCTGCACCTTAAGGGGGCATGGGATGGCTGCGGCGGCTTGGGGGCAGGGCAGGGCCGAGTCCATGTCATCAGTTGAACTCGATAGGAGGAGTCCAAGTAGTCCAAGTAGTCATAACATTTTCCAAACAGCCTTTGCAAAGACGCCCGTTCTAGATACTTGGAAGATGCGTTTCCTTCGACTTCTTCAGTTTTGCCAGTTGTGTAGGTGGAACCTGATTCCAACCATTTCAACAGACCACAAGGCTCATAGTGTAAGAAGCGAACCGTAGGTTCCACTTATGGTTTGGCAATCTTTGATGGTGTTTTCTACTAGTGGAATTTGTATATTTGGGACTTCTGTGACGCTAGTCTTTTTCCCTTGGGTTGTTTTTTTTTTTGATTTCTCAAGAGGAGGCAGGCAGCGACAGACCACCTCTGGACACCTCTTGCCTTGAAGTACGAGGGCCTGCGACCTGGGGGCCCCCCTTTCCACCACCACTTTCTCAGGAATTTACTGGGTGCCTTCTGGAAAGGACCCCTTGCTCAGCGTGGTTCTTCCGGAACAGAAAGCACGTCTCTTGCTTGATGAAGCTGCGGGTGCTTCCGCGAGAGGACCGCGCGCAGGGAAAGACTGAACGGGAAGCTTCCAGCTGCCTTGAACCCAGGCCACACAACGGCGGGCAGGCACCAGAATGCTAACACTGGATGCAGGCAGGCTCCATAGAAGTTGGCCTTCCCTTCAACCCCCGGCTTCCCCGGCCCGGACCCCTGCCCAGCTCCTTCTGCAGCCCCCGAAGTTCTGCCGCCTCCCCTCTCCTCCTCCGGCAGGCTAGAGAACCAGGGGACCCAGCTTCTCCCATCGGCCGAGGGGTGCCGTCCGGGCCCCCTACTTGCATGGTGACAGACAGGACCCGGCAGTGGCTGTGCCCTCCACACCCCACCTCCGTCACGGGATGGCGCTGCCTCAAAACACTCCCGAGCCACCATCACCGCAACCTCTGCAGGAGCCCCCGGCCATCGTCTGACACGTTCTGACTTGCGGCTGAACAAACACGCCCGGGTCTGGAGAACGGGACGGCATCAGGGAGCCCCCCTCCCCCACCCACCCACCCAGCAGGCATACCTGGAGTTGAGCCGCCGCCGCGACCGCCGCTTGCTCTTGTTCCTGGTAGAACTGGGAGGCCTGCCTGTCCTCCTCTTCCTGGAGCTTCTTGGCCAGCTCGAGGTCGCTGATCCCTTCCGGGATCTGCTCCCAGGGAATGTCCTGGCTTTGCTGCTCTTGTTGCAGGGACAAGGCCATCAGGTAGTCCTAGGAGGAGGCACAGCTCGCGTCACTGAAGGCCCCCCTTCCCCCACGAGACCCAGCCACGGGAGAGCTGCCCGGGGGAACTCTCCTCGCCCTCTCACCGCACAGCAAACGGGGCGCCCTGGTGGTAGGCCTTAGTCACAGGACGTTAGAGTCGGAAGGGGCCTTGCAGGTCGTCAAGTCCAGCCCCCCTCTGCACTCTGCAGGAGCAGAGCCGGAAGACAGCCCTACAACACACCCGGAAGAGGGTCGTCCAGCCTCCGCTTGGAAACGTCCACCACCTCCCGAGGCAATCTGTTCCGCTGCTCAACCACTCTGACAGTCAGGAAGTTTCTCCTGATAGATCTGCTCCATCTTCTACATGACGGCCCTTCAGATATCTGAAGACGGCCATCCTGTCCCCTCTAAGCCTTCTCTTTCCCAGGCTAAACAAACCCAACTCTTTCAGCCTTTCCTCATGTCTTACCCAAGCACGGCAACAGCTTTGCTGAAACCAGGACGGAGTCTATCTGCTCAGGAGCCACGCTGGGTCAGACCAAAGGACCCTCAAGCCTGGCATTCCGTGAGCCCCGTGGCCTCCCAGAAGCCCACAAGCAGGACGGCTGCAACCGCGTCCTCCTCCCCGTGGCACCCCAGCCAAGAGGCAGACTGCCCTTGTGGCTGGAGGGAGCAGATGTCCACCAGGATGACGAGCCACTGACAGCCCCTTCCAAGAGGGGGGCCATGGCCACACCCTGGGGCAGAGAGTTCCACACTTTAACTAGGTGCTTCATTTCTACTGAGCCTCTCTCCCCGGTGGGAGCCCAAGGCAGTCGAACGTTCTCTTCTCCGTCGTAATCCTCACCACAACCCCGTGAAGTAGATTGAGCGGAGAGTGGCAGCAGGCATGTTGACAGGAACAGGCGCCTGAGGGCAGTGTTCCCTCTAAGCTGAGTCAGTGTGAGTTGGCTCAGTTTTTTAGCCTCCAGCTCACAGATTTCTGTCTCAGCTCAGGAAGGAGGGGCTCCAGAGCAAACTAATTAACACAGTAGCCAAATCGCTGGCTCACAGTTTTAATGCCAGGAGCTCACAAAGGGGAATTCTGGCTCACAAGAAGACTCCACAGCGTAGAGGGAGGCATCGCCTGAGGGCATAGGATGGATCCTGTGCAAGCTGGCTGACTCTCCTCTACCTGCCCCTCCACGTTTGGCGAGGAGTGGGTTCACAGGGTCCGAGGTACAACCCCCCCCCCCCCAAAAAAACGAAGACATCTCCAGGAAAGGGATTTCTGCAGAAATGACAAGCGGTAGAGAAGAGCCAGTCAAAGATCCCTGCGGGTTAGGCCGTTCTGCCGCCTCATGAACCAAACCGGCCTGTGTCCCATGAACGGGGCACGCCGAGAAAACACAGCTAAGATGAACCGTGGTTTCTAGACCACCTTCAAGCCATGGGTTCAGATCCTGCTGGACAGAGCCTAGTGAACGACAGCAGGAGGGTCTGCGCTCAGCCAGTCACTCAAACCACGTATTTTCATTAAGCCACGGCGTCACACACCCACCTGAACAGAACCTACTGGGCTTAGCTTAATGGTTCTGCTTCCAGAGGAAAAGGAGGGGGGAAGAGAAGAGGAAACCATCACGTTCCGTCCCAGATGCTGAACCACGGAAGCTGAGCAGGGGCAACTGGCGAGTACTGGAACGGGAGACCTCCCTGGGATACCAGAGGCGGCGGGGGGGGGGGGGGGGGCCTTTTTCCACCTCTCCGAATATCCTCCAGGCCCCCACTAGGGGTCAGTCACCAGAGCTTGCCACGACTTCCAAGTGCACGCGCGCACACCAAGGACTGAGCAACACACACACACACATAAAACTACAAAAAAAACCCCAAACCCAGATGCTGAACTGGCAGAGACACTGGACAACATCCCAAGTTTTACCTGGTCAATCTGATCCTGCTGCCCCCGGTATACAGTCTCCGGATCCGATGGAGGTCGCAGGTGGAATTCCGAGTCACAGAAATTCCCATCCCCGTCCACGTTGTGTAAACTTTCCCAAACAACTTTCTCTTCTGTGAGGAAACCCTGATCTGTCACCAAAAGGTAAAGCTGACCCTACGTGGAAAGAGAGAGTTTTGTTCTTTTAAAACAGCTGGGAATTACTTTGGAGACAAATCCCGTGGTCAGCAGAGCCAGTGAGTGCTAGGAAGTCAGTGGGGGTGTCCTGGGCTCCAGAAGCCCAGCTAGCCCCTCTCGACGCTGGGAATGCGCTTCTGCTGCGGAGACGTGCCACGTGGACATCAAGCCACGTGCAGGAACTCCGGGGAAGGCCCTTACAGCAGAACGGAGCTACTTGGGTGACTTAAAGGGCTGGCTGTTTCACAGTCCTGACCCTGCAAAATTTCACATTTCCACTCTGAAAGCCACCAAAGCATTACACTTGAAGTCCCACCAACAAAACAATGAACAGTCAGCAATACAGACTTGATACCAGTAACACAGTTAAGGACTGTTAAAAATCTGGGTGAGGAGGACAGATGTCACCAGACACATCAGTGACGGGGGAAGGAGTTCCAGCACTGGGCTTCTCTTCCCCAGGAGTCTCTGCATGGGTCTGGCAAAGGTTCCAGGGACATGGAACCGGCAGAGGACACGATTGTGAACGGGCCACTTAAGCCACCGAATAACTCATCGGCCACACATTTCGGGACAAGAGTCTTATGAGATAGATCAACAAGAAGCCGGGCCTTTAGGCTCAAAGCACTGAAATATACATGCACTTACAACTCTTAAGCATATACAGAAATCCGTTCAAGGAAAACATTTTAAAGACAGAGGAGGGAGAACACCAGCGGAGGAATCATTCGCTGGTCCTCCAGGGCCTGGTTCAGCCAGATAACCGTCAGAACGGAACCACGCAAAGAAGCCACGCGACTTTCTAGGCAGGGTTGAGACCCTGTCATCCCCCTCTGTCTCGGGAGCAGGCCTCGGGCCTCTGAGCATCAAATCAACCCACAGACTCTGACATGACAAAAACTGTTTATAGCCAGATACCTTATGTTTGGTCATGGTGCTAAAGTGGTTGTTTCTAAAGAACACACATAGCTCTCCTTCTTGAACTGTGGAAGTTAACTCACATAATCCGTGGTAGGTCAACTGAGTGGCTGTGTTGTTTAGAAACTGCTCTGCCACAATGCCTGCGGAGACAAAAAACACAGGGTCTGCACCCACAGGACACCACGATGGAGGCCACGCTAGGTTTCATTAGACGACGTGGAATGCCCAGTGCCGTGGCCTGGATGACCCACACTAACCCAACCTCAGCAGATCTCGGAAGCTAAGGGGGGTCGGCCCTGGCAAGTCCTTGGACAGGAGACCTCCAAGGAATACCAGGGCCGGGAGGCAGACTGAGGCAGTGGCAAAACCACCTCTGCTCATCTCTTGCCTTGAGAACCCTACGGGGTCGCCATATGGAGTAGAGATCCATCAGTGGCTATTAGCCACAAGGTATAGATAGGGACTCCGGGGCAAGTGATGCTCTGTCATCTTGGTGCTTGGGGGGGGTCAACAGTGGGAGGGCTCCTAGTGTCCTGGCCCCACCGCTGGACCTCCTGAGGGCACCTGGTATTTTTGGCCACTGTGTGACACAGAGTGTGTTGGACTGGATGGGCCTTTGGCCTGATCCAACATTGGCTTCTCTTATGTTCTTATGTTAAGTCTGCTGCCACCTCACGGCGCCTTCCACTACCACCAAACTCCCACTGGGCAAATCTACGACACAGCGAGGTTGCCACACCAGACGCCGTTGACAGAAGGGGTGGGAAGGCCCAAGTGGCAGCAAGAGCAGGGAGAAGACAATCCCAAAATTATACGAGGACGCTGCTCTCTGGTAAAACTAAAGGAACTGATGTACAAACTACTTGGGATTTGGCGTGTCGATCCAAGTGAGCATGACTGGAGGAAGAGGAAGAGC